CAGATACCCTGTTTTTTTTCTTCACACCTTCTTGGATTCTTCCATCCCACAGCAGAGAGATGGTCAGAAATAAACATTTCTTTTTATCAGTTGTGTATCTGCTATCGCTTTAATTTCCTGATTCACCACTGTTCTTCTTTCATGACACCACAAAATAAAAAAGCCCCTCATTTACCTTCTCAAGACCATCATCGTCATTTGTCATTTTGCACTTTCTTTCATCACTTCTATCCTTCCTACTCATGGAGTAGGACCCTTGGAGTCCATGTGAGCCAGGACCGAATCCAGACTGACCACAGTGGGCAACCCACCATTCTTAGGAGCCTTCACTAGGGCTCTCTAATGGCTGCAGACAAGACGTAAAGATAGCCTGAACTTCAAAGCACCCAGCGTGAGTGTCTACAGGATGAGGCTGAAGGCCTTATAAAGGCTGAAGCGCTCACACTCTAAACTCCGAAACATCAAACATAGATTTTACTTTGCTTGGAGGCCTTCAAAGAGCTCAGGGCAATAGCAATGAAGAATGCTGATTTAAAAAGAACAAATTTTGGCTTAGTGCAGCATGTCCGGTTTGCCTCTAAGTTTCTTGTGCTGGATCTATTTGCCTAATATAGAAATTAAAACCCCTGTAGGCTCCCCCAGCAGTGCAGATAAACCCTTTTAGAAGTCTGAATATCAACTTAGATTCACAAGAGCTCTTGGAGGTTGGAGACTATCAGTAATAGATAAACACAAATTACAGTCGCAAACTGCTATAATAACTGTCAAAATTTTTCTCTTTACCTTTTCCTCAGTTTTCTGACGAAGCAGAGATGAAAGCCTTACCAAGCAACTTGTCAGAAGTAATGACTGGCTCACACATTTACTGGCACAAACAGGGAGAGGACCAAAATCCACTAGTTAAAGCTTCAGACGGTGCCATTTCCTCTGCTTAATCACACAAGGTGAAGTATTTTGCTGCACTGGAGTTTCGTATATATAATAGCAATAGGAAAGGGGACTTAACTTTTTTCTGTAGAGTGGTTCATTGGAGTCACATGTGATAACATGGTTCCTATACCTGGGCTGTTAAAAAACCCAGCAAGTGTTGTAAAACTTAGGAAAAAACAGGTGAGCTATAGTTATAAATCCTTCTGATGAGCGGCAGTACCCATTGCTAGCCGGTTTTCCATTGGAGGAGAAAATCGATCCTGTGGACTCATATGATGTGAATCTAATTCATTTTGTTTATCCGCTTGAACCAGTCCGGAACAGATCATCTCAAACAGCAGCTGAACACACCCCTACTCTGAACTCCCAGCCAAAGCCCGAGTGTCCTGTTCTCAAAGAGAACTGAGTAGTGACGTGAAGTCAGAACATACCCTGCCTAATCTCCAGACATCCAAGCAGCGGAAAAACATCCCCAGTTCAGTATTTTCTTCCAAGAATCAAAACATCCCTGCACACAGTGACCTTGTGAGGCTGAATGCAGCAGCTCCATCTGGTGATGGCTGCACTGAACCTCTTTGCTCAGCTCTGGGTGCTGGGCGGGTCTGCTAGAGCACGGCTTCTCTTTTCTGCCCCAGCAGGAGCTCAGAGATCAGGCTCCAGACGGGGGCAAGCTGATTCATTTTGTGCCCTCAAGTGTCCAGGGAGGCTGAGCTCTTCCTAGGGCTGCCTGCCAAGCTGCATGGTTTCCTGAGCAGTCAGCCCATGACACAGGGTTGTTCAAGAAATGGACTGAGAAGAACGAACAGATCTCCTGGTGTTGTGCCTGAGCGGCAGCACGGTGGATGGCATGCAATGGCAACAAATACAAAACAGAGCACGTGAGGCAATACAATCTAAATTATAGGTAGATTACAGGATAAACAAAAAGGTAATAGGCAACCTTACTAACCCTCTACCCCTCTAGGAGAAGATTTTAGTGTAGTTGTGGAGAACCCCCTGAAAAAAACAGCCTAGTGCTCACCAACTACCAAAAAGACAAATTGACTACTAGTAATTATTAGAAACAGAACTGAGAGTAAAGCCAAAACTGTCACTCAGGCACTGATAAATTATACACCCATACCATTTATATTATGTGCAAGACTGCTTCTGTCTCCCTCTCAAAAAGTACAGAGTAGAACTAGAAAAGGCACAGGAAAAGGTGACAAAGGTGATCGAAGGCATGATCGATGATAAGCAGGTCGAAAGCTTATGGGTCAAAATCGGAGGAAGAGGCAACAAAGGGAACCTGGTGGTTGGTGTCTACTACAGGCCGCCAGATCAAGGGGAGCCGACTGACGAAGCGTTCTTCCTCCAGCTCCGGGAGGCTTCACGCTCGCAGGCTCTTGTCCTGCTGGGGGACTTCAACCACCCCGACATCTGCTGGAAAACCAACATGGCAGGATGTAGGCAATCCAGCAGGTTTCTCGAATGCATTGAGGACAACTTCTTAAGCCAGGTAATAGACACCCCTACCCGAGGGGATGCGATACTGGACCTGGTGGTCACCAATGCAAGCGAGCTCGTCGGAGATGTCAAGATCGGAGGCAGCCTGGGCTGCAGTGACCACGCGCTGGTGGAGCTCACGCTCCTAAGGGAAATGACAAGAACAAAGAGTATAGTCAGGACCCTAAATTTTAGAAAAGCAAACTTCCAGCTCCTCAAGGAGATAGTCAGAAGAACTCCCTGGGAAACGGTCCTCAGAGACAGGGGAGCAGAACAGAGCTGGCGGATCTTTAAGGATGTGATCCACAGAGCGCAAGAGCTCTCGATCCCTAGCTGTAAGAAATCAGGAAAAGAAGGGAAGAGACCGGCGTGGCTGAGACAAGAGATGCTGGTCGAACTAAGGAAGAAGAGGGAACTGCACAGGCAGTGGAAGCAGGGACAGGTATCCTGGGAAGAATATAGGGAAGCGGTCAGGTTGTGTAGGAATGGGGTCAGGAAGGCCAAGGCGCAGCTGGAACTGAACTTGGCTAGGGATGCGAAGAATAATAAGAAGGGTTTCTACAGGTATATCAGCCGGAAAAGGATGGTTAAAGAAAGT